TCTGAACCTGACTGCTACCTGAATACACCTGAAGCCTTAATCAGCCCCTTCAGACCTGGGCTGTGCTGTTTGGGTTGCAAGTGGCCTTTGAGAACAGGACTTCACTGGGCTCTGGGTGCTGGACTGGCATTTATTAGCAGGGAGGTCCTCTCCCGGCTTTTATGTGTGCTCGAGTGATGCCAAAAATCACAAGACTGCTGGAAAGAAGGTTGTCTCTCGCCTCTTTTCTGATGTACCCTAACTTTTCTTTGAGCAACCTTGGTTGACTTTGCAGCCTTTTAGTCTTCTCACCCTTGAATTATAGTGCTCTGTCTGTAATTATCATGCAAAATAATGTGGATCTCCGCTTCGATACTCCGTATTTGAGGAGAGTATGTTTTGTTGGCTTTTCCTCTGAAGGTGCTTACAGAGGATAGATGCTTGAGTTCCTTAGTATTTGGATGAGTGATGTTCTGCTTTCAGAGGCAGGTGTTACTATTAATTAACAGCAGCGTGCTGCGCTACTGTGTACTTATCAGTAGGGCAAAGCATGTGGGACAGAGCATAAAGTGTTGCACGTTTTTCAGAGGCGTGCTTAAAGCACAATAATTTGGTGTTTGCATGGCTGGAGGTTGCCTTCTGGCTCTGCTTGTGGGGCTGGGGCTGTCCCCGTGGGAACTGCAGCGAGTCCCTGGGCATTCAACGTGCCAGCCAGGGAGGTGGGTGAAACGGCTGCCGTCTGCCATCCTCCCTCGGTGGGAAGTGGCTCCGGGAGGAGAGGGCTGGGGAACGTCTCAGCAGCTGGGCTGGTGCATGTCATGTGGAGATGGTTTTCTTGCAAGGCTTTTGCTGCCCTTGGAGTGGCGGCCAAGGCAGGGAAGGTGGCAGGAATAAAAGCATGGAGAATAAATTCCACTTAAGCGGCCTTGCAATGCCCTTGTGTGCTCTTCACCTTGCTGTTCTGCTGGGTTTCCCCTCTCCCCTCCCTCCCTGTTTCACATCGGGACTGCTAGTTCAGCTTGGGTGGGAGCAAGTCCTTGGGGCTACCTCTCACCTTGTTTGCATCAACCTTTCTAGCTGGCAACACTGAGAAATGTTAGAAAAAAATCTGAGGGTCCAAGCGTATACATTTTTATCATGATGTCTGTGTTGGAGAACTGCTTCCGTGCTCTCATCTTCCCATGATCTGTTCTCCTTGCTCTTACTGTGGGTTTCCCAAGCAGTTATCCCTGTACACGAGCCCCCACTAGCTTATAGCAGAGGCGGCCTTTGTGAATCACACAACCCGTATATAAAATATTAAACCCCAAAGGCTGGAAGGGATAATCTAAAAAATAATAGCTTGGAAGCGGTGTCCTCACAGTCCCATCTGCTTATGGCCGAGCAGAGCACACATGCAGAAAAAGAAATGATGAGTTTCAGATGTCTTCAAGGGTTTGCTTGAATGAGAAGGGGCTCTGGGACACGCGTGTGAATTAAACTGACTGCTTGTGTGCTTTCAGGTACAGCCCAGTGGCACTGCTGTCCCCCCCACTGGGCTGCTGCGGGCAGAACGTGGTGCTCTCCCCTGAACAGCTAGCCGTGGGGCTGTGGGCCACGTGGCCCTTGGGTGCTTGGGGGGCGAGACGGACATTAACGTGTCTGTGAATGAGCCCATCGGTGGGGTACCCCTGGGAGCTGCCGGGGTTGATCTTTAGGGGACGGGTGAGCTTTTGATGGCTTTGCAGTCCTTTGCAGTAGGAAGGCTGCCAGTGGTGGTTTCTTCTTCAGACTGATGCAGCAGCAGGCCAGAGTAAACTGGACAGAATTAGAGGTTACAATGTTCTGACACCAAGCGGAGCAGGGGTAGGTTAGTGTGGTATAAAGCACGTTACGTGGTTGGGGCTGAGGTGATGCTGTCTAGGAACAGTGGCTATCTCCAGGAAGGCAGTGCCAAAATTATCAGTTGATGGTCCTCAGTGTTAGGACCATCCAGTCCCATCCCAGCCATCACAGCAGAGTTTAGTATTACTTCATTAAAATAAGTCTTCCTTTTGCATACTTTGCTGTTTCTATATTTAAATTATTATTGATGCAGCATTCAATTTAGACCACTGGAGAACATCCTTTGAAAACTGCAGTAGTTAGGGAACTGTGATTTTATTTTCTTATTTATTAGATTATAATAGTCTAATAATGGCCTTTATAGCTTTCTAGAAAAAAAAATAATTCTGATATGTTCATGTAGAAGGTGTACGAAGTGGTGAACTGGGCACTAAGGAGGTAATATGAGACCTGGATTTGTGTAATGCATGTACTAAGAGAAACGTGGCACTAGCCCATATTATTTACTGTAAGTATATTGCTTGCAAATAATTTTTTTCAAAGGAGGGTATTAATTATTCTAATGATTCTCTGCTAACACAAAGTAGTGTGCAAACAAATAGTGCATTGACACCACAAAGCCTACCTGATTTTAAATACCAGTTTAATAAGTTAATATGTTTCTCTTCCCTCTATATTTTTGAGACTGCGAGCATGCGCAGGACATATTTATGTTGTAAACCAGACTTTATTGCCCCATTTCACCAAAGGAATAAATACAGTGACCTAAAACTTGTATGTGTGTGTGTGTGTGTGCATGTACATAATATTGATCTACTGTGCTGAGTGAAGATTTGCAAAAGGTTATTTCATGCAACATGAACCGAGTGCTAAAATTACTAATACATGGCTGAGAGGTGTAAGCTAGTACATAGCTGGCTAAAGAGGCGCTGAGCAAGGAGGTAAAGTTACTTGATGTAAGGAAAAGGGTGCGACTCGCATTGCAGCAGAATTGGGGTTTGTCTCACTGTATGAATTTTATCACTAGCTCTTTGTTTGTTTTTTAATTTAAGAAAGGATTGAAAAACTGACATAAGCATATGTATATATTGCTGTGTTTAAAGCCAGCAATCACTGACTGCCAATGTAAATCTGCTCTGATGGCTTGGGGGAGAAGTAAATTGTAGGGAGAGCAAAGCTATTTTTGACCAGCTATTTCAGCAGTTCACTTTGCTTTAAATTTTTTTTTTTTTTTTAATGACTGAGCTGGTAGTTAATCATGCCTGTCCCTGCACTTAAATAGAAAATTTGGAGATGGTTTCCAGCACTTGTACTGGTAAGCATAGGTGCAGGTGTTACTGTCAAAACAGCTTTGCAATAGCTGGTGCAAAAGCATATGAGCAGATGAAGAGAGGAGAAGGAATTGCTGGTGGGAAACCAGTGCGTTTTCTGGGGGAGGCACAAATTCTGCACCCCTTGCCAGCCTGGCACCAGGCAGGGGCTGGCAGAGCTCTGGCTCCTGTTGGGGAACATAAAATGGATGTATCCTGTTACCTTTCCATGTCACCATGTCATGCCTCTGTTGCACATGTCGCTCCCCTCCTCCAAAATAAGGAGGCTGGGCAAATACATCTCCAGGCAGGTCAGGCATGGAGCACAATAGCATGGGCACGGTGAGGCTGTCGGGTGGGAGCCAGCCAGCACTGCAGTTCTGTAGGTGGGACAGCCAGATGTGTATAAAAGCTGGCCAACTCCTTGCCTCCACTTTGTAGAAGAAGATGCAAGTGCACGAAGCCACATGTTTGCTAAAGACGGTTGTAAAAAAAAAAAAAACATCCAGTAACTGCATAAAGCTGTCTGGTGAGATGTGATATGGAAACTGTCCTTGTCTGACAATTGAGCTCTTGCAGTAGAAGCTGGAGCATGAGACCAGCAGGTACTGGGACAGGGAACTGGGTTGATTTTCTGTTTGTTTGTTTGTTTTGTTGTTGTTTATTTGTTTTGTTTGGGTTTTTTGTGTTGTGGTTTTGTTTTTTTTTTTTTAATAGTTAATATGAACCTCAGTTTTGCTGGTAAACTGCATCCATAGTTGGAGTGTCTTAAGTTTACAGCAGCTGGTGTAACCCCTGTATCGATGTATGTGTGTCTATATGTATATATACACATCGGTAGGGTGGTTTTGTTGGTCAGTACTTCTGGTACAGGTGTATGTTGGCCAAAGCTGTAGGTGCAGTGAAGCTCTAACATGGTCACATCATCAGGAAAAGCCAGCTGCTGCCGTAATAGAGTTTGCTAGATAACCTCTTTTAAAACCCTACAAGCAGGAAGATGTTTTTTGGTAGTGTAATGCCTCTAAAGCATGGGTACCCTGTTAGACCATGCATTCTGGGTGGCAGTTTTTTATAGATAACAAATTTTGGGGTTTTTTTTCTGTTTTGTTTTGTTTTAATCTAGGGAAAAATTCAGAGCAAGTGGTCAGCCGTTATTTCTGTGACAGGTCTGAGCTGCCAGCCCAGTGGATGGTCCCTTGCTGTTGAGAGCTGGTCCCTCCACCCTCTGCTCTGCAGGGGAGCCGGGGTTAGAGCACCAAGCCCTTGCAGGAGGGGAAAAAGAAAGTCTTTCAGAGCTGGGCAGCTCCATAGGACCTGGCTGATGAACTATCTGATGGGCTGGCCAGGTCCTTCCCTGGTAGAAACAGGAGGCAGTTGTTGGGAATGACTGTGGCTTGTAAGGGGTTGTAAATTATTTGCACTGAGACGACAAATTCACTTTACACTGATGTAAGTTTTGCAACTTAGGTTTTACTCTTGGGGCACCAAAGGCAAATGCTTCTATAAATAGGGTCAATTTACAATATAATGAGTATAACTAAGGAGTTAATGTGAGAGCTGAATGGATTATATCCTATGTGTTAAGGTCTTCTTCAGATTTCAGATGTTGACCCCAAAATAGCTATTATTTCTGTGTCCAGATTGGCGTTTCAAGATGGATGCAGCAGTTTCCAAGTGTGTACTGTAAATTCTGGTTATAAACTGAGGGGAATTAACACATGCTCATGAGATTACTGGGGCACTTGTGTTGGACCCTGGTTCTCATCAGTGACTGCAGTATCCTTGCACAGCATGGGGATGGTACAGCCCTGCTTTTGAGTTTGGTGGGTAGCCACCTAACATGATTTTGAAGTTTGCTCTGATTTCTGACCATCTCCTTTGTTGCAGACCAGTAAAGCTAAATGGGTCCAGTCACTGGAATGACTCCGGATAAGAAAGCTGAAACACCAGGAGCAGAAAAAGCTGCAGGACTACGGCAGTGTCATGGGGTGGGAAGCTTGCCTGATGCAGGCGATGCCGGCAGGCCAAAGGCCACTGTGGTGGACAGAGATTCAGCAGATGATGAGCTCACAAATTTGAACTGGCTGCATGAAAGTACTAATCTTCTAACAAACTTCAGCCTTGGAAGTGAGGGTCTTCCAATCGTTAGCCCCTTATATGACATTGAGGGCGACAGCGTGCCATCCTTCTCGCCGTCCTGCTACCAGAACCCTGAAAAAAAATCCGCCACTTCCAAACCCCCTTACTCTTTCAGCCTTCTCATTTACATGGCAATTGAGCATTCCCCCAACAAGAGCTTGCCAGTCAAAGAGATCTACAGCTGGATCCTGGAGCGCTTCCCCTACTTCGCCACAGCACCCACCGGCTGGAAGAACTCAGTCCGGCACAACCTCTCCCTGAACAAGTGTTTCCGAAAGGTGGAGAGAAGCCATGGCAAGGTGAGACCTGGTGGGAGGGAGGTGGGTCAAGTTTGAAATTCGGGGGGGCAGAGAAGACTCTCTTGTTCTCAAGGACTTTTTGGTGGTTTGTTGTTTTTGTTTTTTTTTTTTTTTTTTCCCCTCCCTGTCCTCTAACACTTTATTTGCAGCTGGAGATGGTTTGGAAATGCCACTTCCGGCAAATCACAGGATGACGGAAGTCACTTGACTTTGTTATTTAGCGCTGACCTGGGTAGAGCTAATTGTGGTGTATCCTTTTTATATTGCAAAGGACTGTATTTCCCCTTACAATTCTGTTAGCCTGCAATACCCATCCTGAAATTTCAGACATCTGTCTTAGGATGTCTTTTTGCTGAAGCTTCTTAAACTGGTGCTCTCTGTATTTTCCCATGCTGAAATTCCGGGGTGTGTTCCTCCTTCCCTGCTTTTCCAGCACGGTCATGGCTACGATTGCACTGGGAAGCAGAAGAGATTGCGGGATGCCAAGCAGCTTCCTCACTTGTCTAGCACAGGTGCTGCCCGTTTGGGTGCAGATGTGGTCTTCTGCAAGGCGCCCTTGCTTGCAGGCACGCTGTATGGACGTGGCTGAGTGTTTCTCAGTCTAACAGCTGTCTTGAATATTAAACAGACTCTTTGACTTGTGACCTTCTTTTACATTTAGCACAGCTCTAGCTTTCCAATAACCGCGTTAATTCCTGCATTTAATGTACTGTATTGCTTTAACCTCTGTCATAACATAACAGTGTGTGTCTCTGCATGGTGCAAACACAAGCTTCACTTCTTAAAGTCAAGGATACTCTTTTCTGTACAAATTCCTTCTTCTTCTGACTTGCATGATTTTACTAGTGACTTCCTTCCTCCCTCTCTCATTTCCCATCCCATTCCTCAAAGAGCTGGCTCTGGCTTAAATAAACCAACAAACCACATACCAAAAGTCAACAAACAAATCCTGGACCTGTATGCTTGGAGGTCAGCCCAAGTGGTAACAGGCTTGTTATCAGAAACGCATGCAATGCCTGGCATGCTTGACAGCCTTTCGCTGTAGATAGAAGTTCTGGAGCTGAGTGGCTGTTGGGAAGGACTGCGTTGTACTGGTAGGACTGAACATCACCACTTCTCAATACCTCTGCTCTTCCATTACATTGTTAGGGTGTTGTTTTTCCAAGCAGCAGCTTTACCCTGAAAAAGAGTTTTTGCTGCTGTGTGGCAAGTTCGGTAACTCCCCCGCAGGTGAGTCCTGCTGAGTATTAGGACGGGCTTTTAGGGCGGCTGCAGGAGCTGCAGTGGAGTAACTGAGATGCGGCAAGCTGTGCCTGTGTGAAGGATGTGGATCTGGGCAGCAACCGCGTGCTGCCACAGGTGGCAAGGCTGCCCTTAAAGGACTGGGTGGCTCTGTCCAGGAAGGGAGACACGAGTTTCAGGAGAATTAGGGCAGGGAAATCTCCTAAATCAGTGTTCCTGTTGTCTGTGGATCTGCCCTTTAAAGTTCAGCTGTTTCCAGCCTGGAAACCCTGACAGCTTAGGAGTTACCAGTCAAACCTCGTGTCTTGGCATTTGGGCGGCAGGAGCTTGAGACTGCCCGGTCCTCTGCTTACCCTGGCAACTCCCCCAGTACTTCTGGGCTCAGAGGATGGCTTGGTGCTAGATGTGAGAACTCTAGTAGGGAAAACAAGATGCAGAATAGCTACCACCGTTACCAGTAAGGTGATGCTGATGTGCTCTGTCAGCTTTTTCCCAGGGCTCAAGAGACTGCACAGCTCTCTAATTCTTAAGAACAGAAACTGCATTTACCAAAAAAACCCCACCCCAAAAAAGTCCCGTCTGAAACTTTGCTGAAGCTTCCCCATCTCCAGCAGTCATTAAATCTTTACCCTCTGCCCTGGTTAGAAAAGGACCAGATGAGGGTACTGCTCCAAATTCTTCCTGCAAAATAAGTGCGTGGTGCCCAGCGGCATGTGCAGACTCCATGGGAGTTGATCTGGCAGATGACGGGAATGCTGCAGACCCCGTGGATGAGCTCCTCAGGTGTCACTTCTTGGAGCAAGCAGCAGGAGCTTACAAGCTCATTTTGCTGATTGTGTTGCCTGTGACCATGTGCTAGCCATGCCTCTGGGTGCTTCTATAAGAGAGCAAGATAATTTTTTATTTTCTTCCATTTTTTTTTTTGTTAATGGTGTCTTAATTGTGTGTCGGAGGGAGTGCATAGCTTGCTGCTATCCCAAGTGCCTGTGGAAGCAGGGGCCCATGGCACGTTGCATCAGAGCAGCATGGTTTATTTTGTAACATCAGGGTGAAAAGGGTTTTAAAGCCTTTCAAATGAATCTGGGCTCTCATATTGAAAGAGTGTAAATGTCTGACAGGAGGGGAGGGTCATTGCCCCCAGATCCTAGGGCAGGCTGCTTTCTGACACCTCCCTGGCTATTGCTGCTGGCCATCAGCTACAAAATCATCTCCTGGAGGTCTGGCAGCAAAAGTAGGAAGTGTCTGTCCTCATGTTTGCCATAACGCTGATGTTTTGGTTTGGACTGGGAGTGCACTTTGAAGTGAGTCTCCTGTTTTTTCCCCACTTACCCCATGCAAGCTGGCACTGCGGGGCAGTTTCAGGACACGTGAACTGGATTAATTTTGGCTGGTGCTAACCTGGAAGAAGGGCTGCAGGCGTGTGCTTGCTGTGTCCTGGTTGCTCCTGGATGTTGTCCTCAAGACCCTGCTGGAGTAGATCTGAGTAAAATATCCAAGGCACGTGCGGGTGACCCCTCAGCACCAACGTTCTCACTCTGCAGAGCTGTTTCCACCACGCTGCACCACATCGTGTTGCAGACGTAGCTGTGGATGGTCATTCTGTTTGCATGTGTTTTCCTATCAGCTGGCTAAATACCTTTACCCTGCCTGCTGCAGCAGGCTGCGGGCATTCGGGAGTCTAGGACGGCATTCAGCAGAGATTAGGGGAAGGCTGTCCTTGCTTGGATTGCTGAAAATATGGGATGTTGTGGTTTTCTTTTAATGAGTTGAAGGGCTCTGAAGGGAAAGTAACTGCCTTGAGATGCCTTATGAGCCAGCTCTGCAGTCGAGGAGGAACTTCTCATGCCATGGAAACAGGATGCATGTACGTCACATCTCTGCTAAAATATACATTACCCTTTCTGTGTGCACATACTGTGATGCTGCCGTGTCTAAGTGGTTTGTCAAGGTTTACTCCAGGTGATAGACTTATGAGCTGAAATACCCTTTCTTATCAGAGTTGCAGCTGAGCTCATGCAGTTACCCAGACAGATGAGGTTTCCAGTGGTTCTCTGGTGATGGTGGTTGGGAGCTGGACCTGACGGACAGCAAGGGGATGCTGCTGGAGCCAGTCTCTGGGAGACCTGCTTGCCTCCCAGTGTACCTGCTGTGGCCCTGGTGCCCCTGAAGATGCAGAGGTGTGACTGTGGGCCACTGATCCTCAGAACATATAGCTAATGCTCTTTGCATCTTAAGCCCTGTCATGCGGCCCTGGGGTTGAGGGGAGAGAGGTCTACAGTGGGAATTTGCTTTTTTTGAGGGAGCAGTGTCTGATGGACGACACAGGAGGGCCTGCATTAAAAAGCAGTTTGGAGTTGGAAGCCCTGAAGAATGTCCCTGCTCTTTGCTAGACTTGTTTTTACAGTTGTGGGTTTGGGGATTTTTTTATGAACCAATACCACTGGGGAGAAAAGGTGTGAGGAGGCAGGAGTGGCATCCACGTCAAGCACCAATTTGGCATGCCACTGTTAGCATGGATGTGGCCTTGCCACTGTTTGCTCCGGAGGCTGGGGTGGCCAGGGCTTAAATATCTTCAACAGATCTCCCTTTCTTCTTCTTGGTAGATAGGTGGGGCTTTTTTTTTTTTTTTTTTTCTTCCTTTAGGGTTTGTCTTTTTTCTTTTGACAAGGGATGGTGGTAAACAATCCGTGCGGCTTTTCAAATATTTGGGCAAAGAGCAGGTCCCATCTATAAGCCTGTAGAGACAGGAGAGAGAAATCTATTATCTGATAAACCTCTTGGCTAATGTGCGATATACCTCCGTGCACACACACAGTATTTTCCAGCGGTTCACCGAGCTCAGGTGGGAGCAGCGGGTGAGAACTGCCCACGCCAGGTGGAGCCGGGGCTGCTGCCCAGGCTGAGCTGGCGGAGGAGGGCTTTCTGCAGGCAGGGACGGGGGGGTCTGCCTCTGCAGCGGCTGAGTCGCTCCCCTTCGGTTGCTCCTTGGGCTTTGCTCTCTGGACTGGCCATACTCGCTGGTTGTACTTCACAGCTAGCCAGGGGCTAGCGGCGGGGTGGTGGTAAAGGACAAGGCTGCACTGTGGGGGGGCATCTTTTTTCCAACCCACGTTGCTGTAATCAAGCCCTGAAATTCTGGGGGCTGGAAACTTACTGTCTTTACGAAATAGCCCCAAATGCTTCAAAACATAGGAATTCTTTTCCTTCCTTTACTTGCGTAGATAAAATCCTGCAAGTCAAATTAGAAAGACGCAGAAAAGATGATAGACCAAAAAAAACCAATATAAATGCCCCACTCATTTTGATATGGAGAGTTAAAACGATCTGGTGGCTGCTCCACACTGGCTCTGGAGGAATGTTTCCCTAAATGTTAAATAAAAGTTAAACCCACATTTCAGCTAGCACATCAACAGTTGTACCACTGTTGGTGTGAAATAGTAACCTCCAGAGGCAGTTTAGCATTTTAGATCATCTTAAGCTTAGTCTTTGCTAAGAGAAATGATACAGACTTTTTTTGTTGCTGTGGTTAGACCGCCGGTTTGTTTTAAAGCTGGATGCATCTGTGTTCTGTGGGATTTCCAGCTCTGGTTGTGCATGGCTTTCCCCTAAATTGTGACATGAACCTCAGACCTGTGTTGGATTCCCACTGGGTGACTTTGCTAAACAGCTGATGTTGAGTGAAAGGGTGCACAGGAGCAGCCCCATGGGCATCATCTCTTTTGCTCAATGTCTGCTTTTAGTACTAGTAATGGGGGGTGGAAGTGTGGTTTCACATTACACCTAGCCCAATCTAACTACTCAAAGAAGTCACCCTGTTTCTTGCCTCTTGCATTAGACTGAGTGTCCGGAAAGCTTCAGGGTGTGCCCGGCTTCAGCTTGCTGTTGCAATACCCACCCGAAATCCTTGTGTTATGTTGTCAGGGCAGCAAACTGGTGGGAGTGTGTGGCTGGGAAGATGCAAGAGGGAAACTAAGCCCATTCTGGCTGTAGGCCCCAGCTGAACTGAATTAGGTGTCATGTCGAAGTGCTTGCCTAAAGCAGCCGATAGAACAGTGCACAGCAGGGCTTTGCTGGTCTGGGGAGTTCTTGCTGCTCCCTGAGGGCAACAGCCTCAAAGCTACCAAAGAGAGGAAAGAAAAAGAAAGCCAGAGTTGGGATGCTGGGAAAAGGGTTGAGGTGAGGTACAGGAAAGGGGATCAGGGTATTAGTCTGTCACTGAGATGGTGGATGGAGCTGGTTGGGAGGACACCTCCCGTTAGTACCTAGGTGGCTAAATTGTCCTGCCAGCCACCATGGCTGCTTAATTGAAGATAAGCTTCTTGACAGATATCTTACAGGCTGTGTTCAGTATTAGCATGAAAAGATAAGAAAGATCCAGGTTAAAAAAATAAGTAAGTCTGAGAGGTGCTGCAGCTCAGATCTTTATGAAAAGCAGTGGCCTTAACTAGAATTACAGAGCAGCATCTCTTAGCTGGAGCTCTCCCTGATTTGATTTTCCACTATTATAGCAAAGTATTTCTTCTTTTCAGGAAAAGCCCCATGACTTAAATATGACCATAGACTTTTATGCTTTGTGGGTCCTTTTCAATCTGAAGTAAATCATGGAGTGTCCATCCATAAAATGGTATTAATACCCCCCAGATACTGGTAGGAAGCCAGCTGGCCTTTGTGGGCTCGCAGGAGGTGTTCCATGGAGCTTGGATTTCTGCTCTGAGACTTTTTCCCTCAAAATCCTCAAGAAAGGTCGTCCTGTTCAGGTGTAGAGCTGCCCCATCCTTCTGCTGTGTGCATGATCACTCCTGTAACATCTATTTTCCACCAAAAAATCTGTCATTGCTACCTGTAGAGCTGTTAGCTGATCTGTCAGGTCAGTGATTATAGATTTGTTTTAAATTTTCATACCTAATTTTCCTGTTCATATTGCGTGAACTAGCAGGCTCAAAAAAACAGGTTTTTTTCTTTATATAGTGAGTATGTGAAGAAACCCTTGAGAGGAGCAGGAGGTGCTTTAACTTGCTTAACTTTTGGCATATGAAATTTAAAATCAAGAATGACTAGTACAGTGGTGCTTACATTGTTAGGTGCATCAAAAATATATTAATTAGATTTTCAGATATTGAAAAAAGTGGGAGTAATCCATTTTGTAGCTGGGCAGCCAGCAAAATGCTTTTACGGGATGGAGTAAAGTTAAATGAATCTATGGCCATATCTAAGTGAAAGGATGGGTGCTTTGGTTTCTTACTTAGAAATCTGTTAATCGGAAGACTGCCAATCAATTCACTGATGCCTGGACAGATCCTTAAACTCACAGCTCTGTATTTACCAAGTGTTAAAATAAGATTTACAGCTTTCAGCAGTCAAACATGAATGGAAGTGGGGCTTTAGAGAAGGGGCTTTGGAGATGCTATCCCAAGCTGCAAAACGGGTGTTTCTGTACCATATCACGAGGGTCTCAGGACCAGCCACGCGGTTCGTGAGCGTCCGCTTTCCATGCAGGCGATGGAGCTGCCTGAGGGTGATGTACATCAGCTGTATAGTGGTGGATGCCTATGTCACTGCTCTGTGCTGCGTTTTGGGAATATTAAATGAGAAATGACTGTAACAGCCTGGCCCCTGGATTTTCTAATTTGCAATACTTCTTTCTTGCAGGTGAATGGAAAAGGTTCGCTATGGTGTGTTGACCCAGAATATAAACCTAATCTTGTCCAAGCACTGAAAAAGCAGCCTTTTCCCTCAGCACTTGCGTTTTATACTCCGCCAGCATCACCACCAAGGTAGGTGAATTTCCTCACCCGAGTAGGATGCGCAGTTATGTTACTCCACCTAGCAGAGGAAATGCCCACACAAATATTGATGTATTGTTATCATCTGCCACCCAAGAGAAGAATATGAGTGGGGCTTAGGTGAGACCAGCTAGATGCGGCAGGGAGATGTAATGAGCTGAGGCTTCCCAGGCAGCAGATCTGGGGTTTGTGTCCAGGTTGTCTTTGAAACTGTGGGAGAGTTTAAAGGAGGAGGTTGTGGCTGTGCTGGGTGCTTACTGGTGAGCCTCATTTCTCTGGAGGGAGGGCAGTCCTGGGAACCAGAGCAAAATCCTCCTTCAAGCACAGCTCACCAGGACTGATCTAGGGTGCCTGGTGCTGCTAGCTTGGAAGGAGGTGTGTGTCTTCTCGTGTAAGTTGCTTGTCTGGATATAAAATATGTATATGCTATGCTGTTGTCAAAAACAATCAACTTCTTTACAGTCTGCAGTGCTTAGAGAGGCTAGTCTGGGAGAGGGGTGTTCTTCTCCAAGGCTGTTAAAAGCATTTTGCAGCAGGGATGGGAAGAACAGCCTTTAGCATAAACATACTCTGAGGTGGAGCATGCAAGACTTCTGAAATCAGGGCTTCCTCATTTGATGGATTTTAAGATTAGGCAATAGATTTTGGAGAATTTGAAGTCAACATCACATGTTCTTCATAGAGGAAGAGGAACAGCAGCTGGATCAGCCTATAGAGGCGGGATGGAGAGGGGGAGGACAGAAAGCAGAGGAACGCGTTGCTGTTAGCTCAGTTCTTAGGTAGGCACATGGCCAGTTTATCTAGTTCAGCAAAGAATTTGGGTGAGATAAGAGATAATGAAGGTCTCTGTACATTGCCCTATGCCTTAATCTTACTGCAGGGAGTTTCCTTAACAAACAGGAGGAACTGGGATTATGGAGCAGGATGTAAAGCTGATAATATTGAGCAGACATTTCTAAGGGTCCAATGGGACATTGACCCTGGGAGCTGGCACTCCCCTGCAAGCCTTAGCTGTCTGACAGTGGCTGAAGATTTTGTGTGGCATGGGTTTTTCCACTTGGGTTTGTAACCTGCAAGATGTAACAGTGATCTCTGGCCTTCCAGCCATCTTGAGCTATAAAGGGTCATCTTGGATTTGAACCAGCCAGGTAGAAGTATTCTGGTTTTGAGTTTTCTACTGGAACAGGAGCATTACTAAAATAACCCTGAAGTGTTTAAATATTAAGAATAATTAAGAAACAGTCAAATTGAAAAGCATGAGATGGCTGGTGGTACTGTCAGGCTTTGTTTTATAAGAACAAAGATTATTGAAACTACTGTAATTGGACTCATGATGATAATGCTTTTATTGGTTTTAACGTTTCTATGTAAGGGCATGGACTTCTGGTTTTTGGTACAACTTGAGTGAAAGTTTGGTCCTTGAAAGCTTTGTTGACACCCGTGTCTATGTTTACATGGTCAAACTTTGTATTTTAGAGAATAATACAGATGGGAAGGAACCTCTGGCTGTTGTCTGTCCAGCCAGAAAAGCAGAGGGACAAGACAGACTCAGCCTAGGACAGGTCATTCAGAGCCTTGACCAGTTAAGTTTTTAATATCTCCAAGGTTTTCAAGATTAGTCCAACTATACAAGCATTGAAGTATGCTTTACCTAGCTTGTGTAAATACAACGTACTGAAACTAGGTGTAGGGAAGGAGAGATTTTCTCTGAACACCAAAGTACTTGCAAGATCAGGACTTTAATTTGAAGCTGTTGTTTTCCGTAAGTTTTTTCTCCTTCACTGCAGGACTAGTCACACTTGCCAACAATCACAATTACAAGGAAATCCTGGTCCTAATGAAGCCACATGACAAAATTCTCACTGACTTCAATACATAAAGGGTTTTGCAGTGCTTATATTTTTAAGGACAACAAAATAAAAACATTTTAAGATGCTAAAATTCTCCCTAATGAAAGCTGGTTTATTTTCCTTTAATAACAAAAAACATTTGTATGACTTTCAGCCATACAAAGAAAAACAGATTTATATTTTTCCCTTCCACATTAAAAATTCTTGGATTAGATTTAAATTCTGGCCTAATTTTGGGGAAGGGTCCCCAAGGAGCTGCCTTGTGCATGGAGAGAAAGAGAAAGCCCAGAGCTACAGCTGGAGAAAGACTGGAAGGACTGTCCAAATTTATCTACAGCGTGATGATAGCATTCAACTGTGAGAGTCTCTGAATTTTTCTGTGGGAGGGCTAGTGTTCATAAGTTTTTTACAGTATGTTTTCAGGGAATATACCTATCATTCAGCAGGATTTTAAAATAAAATTTAAGGTGTTACTTTGAGCAGAAGCTTTTCAAAACTGTAATCTGTGCCTAGTTACACTGAAATTTGTATTATCATGGATGATTGGCATCACTGGTGCATTTTATTTTTGCACAGCTTGTTCAACAAGTCGCTGCGAGGCCTCTAGCTGCATTCTGGTTCTATTACTACATGTATTATATCCCTGGGCTCTGGGGACAGTCAGGGTCCTCATCTTGCAAATACTCTATGCATATGCATAGCTTGTCTTAATCAATACTAAGCATTAATTTGCTCTAGGAAAGCTCTAAGTGGATATGATTCTTGAAGGATCTGAGCTCAGGCAAAAGGATGAAGATGTTTAGCATCTCTTTGTACAATTTACCTGCAGACTGCAGAGCCAGCCAAGATGGAGTAGGTCCATTGCTTTCCTTGTCACTTCTTTTTAAAAATTATTTTTAATATTTTTCCCCCAGTTTTTGGATCTGTTCCTTTTGCACTTCATCACCCCTACAAGAAAACATAACAGACAGTGAACTTGAGTTTGCACATGTTTGCATTCAGCTGCACTGGATCTTTTTCCCTTTGGTTATGTCATGGTTTGAGCCCAGAGAGCACCTGAGCACCACTCAGCTGTTCACTCACCCTTTCCCACTCAGGAAGGGGAAGGAGAAAATGAAGGAGGAAAGGCTTGGGAATTGAGATAAGGACAGGGAGGGGTGGCTCACCCATTACAGTCACAGGCAAAAGACAGACTCAGTTAGGGGAAGAAGTACATCACTTTAATGCAAACACTAACAAAGACAGTGCTTAGCACACAAGGTGGGACAGTGAGAAGCGCCACCACATCCAAAAAACGCCTTCCCCATTAATCCCATGAGGTTGCTGTTGCAGGTTGAGCTTGAAAATTCTGCTCATCACCCTTAGAATTCTTCCAGCAATACTATAAAAGATGCACATTGCTATGTTTCATGCAGTTTTAATAATTGTACTATTTCTGTGGTATTTATTTCTAGCTGCTAGTATATTTATAATGAACTGAATAATTAGGACTGGGTATGTAGCAGAAAATCACGCGAAAGCTTTAACTTGCCCTTTATTTGTAAGGTATTAAGTGGTACTTTGCCAGGTGCAAAGCTGGTCTCCTAACACAAAAAAGCAGACGGCATCACCAAAACAGCCTAGCTTCAGTTAACTCTAAAATCAGCAGATGTTTTGGTTTTGTTTGGGTTTGTTTTTTTTTTTTTTTTTTTGTTCTTCCCCAGCTTTTTGCACACTACCTTCTGTTCTTGTTAATCTCTCACCACTGTTTTAAAGAGCAAACGGACACAACTGCTCCTGGGCTCTAAGCATCCCTGTATATGCTCATGTTTTGTTATCATGTAGGTTTTACTTACTAAAAAATATCTATCTTTGTTTAAAATACATCCTTTAAGCAGGTACATAAAATCTGTAAAAGTTAGTATCTCTTGCCAACAAGACTTTTGCTTAGTGTGTATTTGGAGGTGTTTTCCAAATACTGATGATGGCTTATAGTGCTATAAAAACCATCAACCAATGTGTAAAGCCATCTGCTGAGGGCAACAGGAATTGCTTGCCCACTGAACTGGTGATTGGGTTGGTTTTGTTTTTACCTTTCTGTGATTATAGTATTGTGTCTACGATACTTTGTACAAATCATTTGACTAGTTAGGGCTTGGCTTTGATCTGTTGACTTTCTTTTCAGTAGGTCGGCATCCCCTCACTACCTAACTTCAGTCCTTCAGCAGAATCATGGCCGATCTCTCAAAGGTAAACATTTAATTTTCTTTCGCTCTGTTTCCCTGGTTTTAGTTACAAGCATGTATTGAAACCCAGCTGATGCTGTGTATGGACCGACTCCGAAGGGTCTGCTAGATTATGAAAAAACCCCTGATATATTAGAACACGTACTTATTGTATTAGCCACTCGTGTATTAAGTGTAAATCCATAAGATTACTTTAAAGATGTAACGGAGGCCACCTTGTTCTGCCAGCAAGGTATTTAGCAGGCACATCATTCCCAAATATGACCTACTTAAGGAATGAATAGTACATTCGAAAACAAGTCTGAAAGCTGTGTATCTCTACACTAGTTTTATTGGTTACCAAGAACTGAGAACACAAGGTAGCAAATTTTAATGTATAAAACTTGTGGGATGTGGCCACAGAAGTCCCTTAAAGTTGGTTCTTTGATACAGGTGGGTAGGAGAGCATGACAGGCTTTCCAGGGGAATGTGGAACAACAAGTATACTTCAGATGAGTCTTTCACAGCTGTGTGATACTTTTCGGTCACTTGCCAAAAAGTTGGGCGCAAGCCAGTGTTATTGCCAGTGTAGTTACGCAGGAAGACCTACGTTCTGGATATTAACCCAGTTAAAAAATAGCCTCATGATATTTGTTTAGTTTAAAGTGTCACCTTAAAAATTGCAAAATGTTCGTTTTAACTCATGGGAGAGGGGAATAGGATGGGTTTAATATATGGACTCTCAATACACGTCTTGATGCTGTAGGCTGCAGTGCGGCTCCTCAATCAAGTTTACATTGTACTGTGTTTCCTGCACTAGTAATGAAATAGGTGCAGGAGAAAACAAGTCATGTCCAGAACCAAAAAATACTATGTTGTATAAATGTTATTTTAACCATAATCACCAAAACTTGGTGGAGAAAGATTGGATCAGACCGAGTCATGCTCAGGATATTGCCGTGGATGAGCGATCTCTTCTAGCCAAGGCAGGAACTCGGTAGCACGACACATTCCCCCGTCTAGCAAGTTAAACATCGTTGTCTGTGGGTGAAGTTTCAGAATGTGGCTGTCCCTGCAGAGGCTGGCACCACTGTTAGGGCAGTTTTTCAGCTGGCACTGCTGTTAGGGCAGTTGTTTGGCACTTGCTGGCCTGCCCCAGGTGCAGGCTGAGCCAGGGATGTCGATGTAACGACACCTCTGCTTTGGCAGCACAGGCAAACCTGAAGTATTATTGCAGCTGAGACAGGATGCGGGTGGTTTTTTTTGGGGGGGGGGGGGGGGGCAGAATGCTGCTGTTTGTTTTCAGGGCATCCCTGCTGAACTGCAGCATTGCTTGTCTTTCTGGTGTCCCCTTCTTCAGCCCACTGGGATCTATTCACTCTTGCAGGTTTTAACGAGTGTTAGAGTAACAAGGAATTGGCCACAGCTCAGTCCTAGGGATTTCTACTTTTGCTTTCCATGAAGAAAAACAGGCAGCCAAATTCAAATTTAAAAAAAAAAAAAAAAAGTTTAATTTAAGATGGAAATCTGTTTCTCATTGACAGTCAAATGCAAATAGAACTAGTAACAACTGTTAAACAGAAGATGGTTACTTCTTTTTCCCATATGTACTTTTAAAAAAGTTTTCTTCTTTTTAAAACATTTTAGTGGGCCTTGGTACTAGGACAGAATGCTGGGATTTGCAGCATTTCTTCTGAAGAAGCCTGTTGAGCACAGGTTTTGCACCTCACTACTGAAGCTTAATACATTGAAGGCTTGTCTTTGTCAGAAATAATACGTTTTGGTTTTTTTTTTTTTTTAAGTGCTGAAAAGTGAACTGTGCTCCATTTTTAAAGGGCTAATTCCAAGAAAAAGTGAGCATGTGTTAATTTGTTGTAGAGGAGTGTTGTTAAAGCTCTTTCAAAAGGATAATGAAAGGATAATGAAAGGCCACCAACGAAGCAGGACTTGAGCAGCATAGCAGACATCCAGCGCTCTGGTTTTGCTAGCACAGTAGGCTTTGAGGTGAGAAGGTTGCTTTCAGTTTTCAGCCACAAACGAGAAACATTGGTTAGGCAGCAAAGCCAAGGCTTTTTGGAGACTAAGCAGCTTCCTGGCCCACAGATGATAGTTACCATGCATCCACAGAGGTGTTAAGGTGGTACCCGGGTGGCAAGGAAGCATCCCTGGCTGAGGGGCTGCTGCAGGGCTGCTAGATCTGGGATTCTCAGGGCTTGTTAGAGAATACAAGAAATCCCCCTCCTCTTAATGACTTTGATGGTGTGTCCTGTGATGGGTCTGGAGATTTCCAGTCTGATGCTAACTATTCCAATTTGCTACACTGGAGGTGCTGAAGTAATGACATATATCTGCTTTCACTTAATTTCTGCATGTTGATGAACCAGTTCAGAATCCCCCTGGCATTAGAGGCAAGCCATTAATGTTCCCAGGGTCACACAGGGCAGCAGTTGTGTAGATTGCAAGAATTCCTTGTAATAAGGTGCTTCCTTAGCCATTCTGCCCAGGAAGCATATATTATATTGGCAAATACTGCTCTATCAAGGAGAGCAATTGCAAATGAAGCCAAAGCACATTAACGGTGACACAGAATATACTGCTAAAAAGTTACTGCAGAAGTGTCTTTGCTCTTTCTTTGGAGGTACTAAGATGCAGAAATGTTCTTTGCAGGTAGTAATTCCATGTTGCATTAATGCCTCTGATTGTGTGTTGTTTTGACAAGGTGGTGCTTATATACCAACATCAGGTGTTAAAATAAAATGTCTGTGATAGCCAGCAAGGAATGGGAATATTTCACTTTCTGATTATGGTAGTGGAAGAAAGTAACTCTTCACACTTTTTTTTTTTTAATTTCTTTTTGTCAGTTGGATACATGTGACTTGTAAATTCAGGGGCTCTTTTGCTGCCAAAGACAGACAAAACAGAATTAAAAAAAATAATCTCATGAGTGCAGTGGGATAGACCTTAAAGTATGCTGGTTTTAAAATGAGAGACAGCAAAACCAAGGGGGGAATGTGTGTGTTTTATAACCTGTTTTGGAAACAGCAGCTCAGTCTCCTTCCCATGTTGGTACAACGCTCCCAAAGTGTCATTTTCTTCAAATTTCTCCTTGACCAGGGATAAAGTTAGGGACAATTATATAAGATAAGGAAGCCAAACTGACAGTTCTGCAGTCCCCCTCCCAATACTAACCCTCCCTTCAAATTCAGTAATGTAGTTAATGCGTATAATGGGGGGGGGGGGGGGGGGGAGGGGGCAGGTATAGAGAAAAAAATGCCATCAAAAAAAGACATTGCTTATGTTTCACTTCAACAGTTCCCACCCCAGTTCCAGTTCAGCAGGACTGAGAGCATGTTCTGCTCGCTGCCGGTACCTTCCAGCCCCTCTCCTCCACTCATACGTACATATGTACACCCTGGATGTATTCTTTTGCTCTGAGACACCAATGTGAGAGCTCACTGTCTCTTTGCTCCTCTTTTGCCCGGTTAGTCCACCATATGTATTTCTTACATACTTCTCTCCTGTATAAGGAGTATTCATCATCCATAGCTTCAGTGAGTGGAGGAACACCTTGGATTTCCTCTTTTTTTAAAGTGCATAAGTGTGTCCTGAAATGAATAGGAAGGACATGTTTGTTTCTTTTCCTTTTCACCCGATTCTGGTTAGAAATGTCACTCTTTGCCATAATATCCTCAGGGTGCTCTTTTTGAGATGTAAGCAATCCACTCTGGGTGGCAAAGGATGGTGCTTTACAGCTGCGCATGCCACCGTAGCTAAAAGTGCCGCAGTTTACCTAAACCTTTTAAAGTGCCTATCCATTATTTAGATCCCCATGCTTTCTAGATCAAGCAGTTCAGTGCCCTTTCCCCCCTCATCTCCTCGATTTCTTCCGTTTGACTTGTTAGTGTGAAGAATATTGCTGGAGGAGAAGTGTGCTGAATTAATGCTGTGTTAACGGGCACGTTCACTCTCAGCACTGCGTATTCGCATAACCAGGGTATGAAGCTGCTGAGAGGCTTTGCTGTGCCACATGCGTAATCCTTCTCAGCCTGTACAAACAAAAGCCACTTGTTGATAAGTATAGCAACAGCATCATCGTATGAATGTCTAATTAATGTCACTGATTCTTGGCTTCAGCTTTGCTAAGTGCAGTATGAGAATTCAGCTTCTGAATGCCATAGTTAAGATAGAAGACTGTTCTATAAATGTATTGCACTGTGTAAGGGCTGTGCTTTGTCTGAATTCGTACTTTTTTTCCCCCTTGCTCTTTATTGCAGGCCAGTATATGTAGATGCATATTCTTGGTATGTTCTAGGGACCTCATTTTGTCAGGCTCACCTGAAATCTAATGTTTTGCTGCTTGTGTTTCACAGAATCCGACATTGATGCTGCTACTGCAATGATGCTGTTAAATACTTCCATTCAACAAGGGATGTTGGACTGTAAGCATTAGCCATTTTACTCTGTTTTTCTCCTCTGCCCAGTAGCTAAATGTTTTCTCTACAAAGTTTTAGGAAATGAGTATGGTCTAGTTTCCAAATAGTAAGAGCAGTCAAGAACCAATTCTAGTTTGATTCTTTCTGCTAGCACTACAGAGTTTTATAGAACCACATTCTTTCCCCACCCCCACCCCCCCCCCCCCAAATAATTTTGGTTTTTTTTCTGCAAAGTTCTTCCCCTGCCCTTTGCGCTAGATGGTAGGATGAGTTTCTTAGCTACTTCTCTGTTTCTCCAGCTCTTAGTTGTGATTAGCTGAAGTCTGTTGTCCTCTGTGGATGACGGTAAATGGGCACAAGATATTATGACTCTTAAATGCTCACGTTCAGCTTACTTTGCAGTCAGCCAGCCCTAGTGTGCTCATTTTGCAGATGATCTCATTGGAGTATTTGCTTACTGACGAATCTTGTTTTTAATAGGTGAGAAACCTCAGCCTCTGAAGACACCCAAGAAGAGGAGTTACGGCAGTGCATTCAATCCTCCCAGTTCCATAAATTTGCAGGAAAATGATTCTGCGGCCACCAATATCGATCCAAAGGAGGATCACAACTACAGTGCCAGCAGCATGGGTTCCCAGCGCTGTGCATCTAGGTCCAGCGTGTCTTCCTTATCCTCCCTTGACGAGGTGTATGAATTTATCTCCAAGACCAGCCATGACGGAAGCGACGGCAGCGAAGGATTTCACAGCGAGGTGGATACAGACGTTGACTATGAAGATGATCCTCTTGGAGACAGCGGCTATGCATCACAACCTTGTGTAGATACCTCTGAGGAAAGTCAGCCTAGCAACAAAGCACTCAAGGAGTTATGTCAAGAAATCGATGAGGAGTTGAAAGAAGCAGCAGGGTCTCTGCTCCACCTTGCTGGCATCCAAACGTGCTTGAGTTCCTTAATAAGTACTGCAAAGACCCACTGTCACAAGCAAAGGAAAAAATAGTATGTTTGTCAGTGTTGAATATATACATATATTTTTTTTAATTGTGGCAATACTCTTCTACTTTTACCCTTCACAAGGGAGATCAAAGCCATAAGAGGACTCATTGCTTTTTTATTTTTGGCGCTAACTATAATTTAGCCATTTATTTTTAAATCACTGCCTAAAAGGAAAAAAAAAATTATTTAATCTTCTCAAAGTAGGAGAGATGCATGACTTGTGAAAACCTGAAAGCATACTTCTTGATCACTTTTTAATTTTTTTTTTCTTTTTAATAGTTGTTTTTTTTTTTTTTTTTTCAGAGATGTGTTTGTTCAGATGCACATTGTGGATCATATTTACATCTCTGCTGGCCCCCTTTGCAGAGGTGAATTTTGCCCTGTCTAAGGGCTCTGACTTTCACGTAAAGGATTAAAAAGGAGGAGAAAAAAGAAAGAAAGGGTGGGTAAAAAGGGTCCTGGCTTTGGTTGCTTCTCTCTTTGCTCTTCTGAGACGGGTCCCGGTGGAAATGCTGGTGACACAACTCCGAGTGGCTGCTGTTCTCAGCCCGTCTGATACAGTGGCTGAAAACCTGCAGCGCTCGGAGCTGCTTTCAGCAAGATGCTAAATATCCCCCAGGAAGAGCGGGGATAAGGGGCAGCTGAAGTGGGTACCACCCGCAGTTTTCTTTTTTTTCCTCCCTCCCCCAGGTCTGCTGTGTGCAGGTCAGATTCCTGAAGGAAAACACTTTGTTTGGGGTTGGTTTTTTTTTTTCATCTTAAGACAAATTGTCTTTTTTTGGGGTGGGTGTGTGTGTGTCCTTTTTGTGCAGATGCATGCATGCACACCCACGCCTTAGATGTAGCCAGCAGTGAAAGCTGCCACCTGCCAAGTTTGATGTTGTCCTGGTGTTACCACCACTGCTGAATACATAGTAGCTGTGTAGTCCTGCAACATCTACCCTTCTGTTCCCCAATACAGATTTGGGGGGGAAAAACAACCCAGCAGTTGATGGTGGTGACAGCATGGAGAAGGTGGAGGCTTTAGGTGGCTAGGTGGTGAACAGCTGCTGAAAAGGGAACATCTTGCCCCGTAATCTGAGACAAAAAGCTTCCTTTTGGATCAGTGAACTCTGAATTGCTTTTAGGGTTTTTCGCCCCTTCCCTCCAATGCTGTTTTTTTTTTTTGTCACATGGGTTGTCCGTACCTTTTGTTTCCCAGATCACTGTGCCTTGTGCTGTGTGAACCCTACCAGCCTCCTGCTGCATACGGGGCATCTAACGGGCAAGGCTAGGCTTTCGCCTTTGGATGTACATCGTAGCTCAGGAGGACCCCTCTGTGTCGGGAAGAAATTCCTTCATAATTCATTTTTGCAATAAGAGAATCTCTTTATAGTTTCCAGACATCCTTCAGCCAAAATGTTTTAGGGGTATGGTGGACTTTTTCCCCCTTTTTTTTTTTTTTTTTTTTTTTTTTTTTTTTAAATTATTAAATCAGTGGTGATTGCTTACATCTTCCTGTAGATGATGGCCTTTTTTTTTTTTAATTTATTTTCTGTTAAAAAAATGGGTAAGCAGTCCTGTTGGAGTGGGTTTTAACAGTACTGTACACGTAAGGATGCCTTAAGTATGTTGCAGAATTGTATACAACTATCAAAGGTCATCTTTCCTGTTTCTGAAAGGTAGCATGATGTGCCATAAACTTGCTAACACATGAAGCTGTTGCTTCCCAGAGGTGTTGGGCAAGCTGGTTGAAAATTAGGAGCAGAGCCACCTAGGAAACCAATGTCCACTGTTTTGGTTGTTGAAAACAGTGCTGGATTCAGCCAAAAGTTAACCTTTCCCTAAAGGAGTATTTTTTCTGGCTATTTGGAGGCCTTTCTTAGATCATTGTGGGTTTTCTGGTAGTTTGTTTGTGGGTTTGTTTTTTTTTTTTTTCTATTTGTTAGTCTCTTCATGAATACTGCCATAAACTGTCTACTTTAAATATGAACACAGTTATGCTGCTGAAGGTCTGTTGCTCTGAGGGCCTGTTGCAGTGCCTCGTGAAGACAACGGTGGTGCTCCCGCTGACTTAATGGCTGTTGGATCAAGCCTGAAATATTTGAGGTTCTTTGTGTTTTGGAATGTAAAGCCAACATTTTTTTTTTTAAAGCACAAACACTAGGACAAAAGTGGTTGGTTCGTTTGTTTGGGTTTTTTTTTTGTTTTTTTTTTTTTTGTTTTTTTTTTTTTGTTTGTTTGTTTGTTTGTTTTTTTTTTTTTCCAATTACTTCAGTTTTAAGAATGATTTGTTTTATTTCTTGAAAGGGAAGAAAAATACTCTGCTGCATTCCTGCTTTGTGTGAACACCCGTTAGCCTACACATGTGTGCAGACGTGTATGTCTTCTGGATATCACAAGTGGTGCATTAGCCAATTAGATCAGATACTGGATGTGTTACTGGTGGATAGTAGGGGTAAAAATCGCTATTTAAAGGAAAATTAAGTACCAACGCAGTGGTTATTGGGATTTTGGGATGTGGAGATGTGAATGCTTGGTGGAACTGCTTTTTTCTCATGGGTTGCTTTTGTGCCTTGATGGAAAACTGCAGAGTTTGTGTCAATGTGAAAATGAGGATCCAGCTACACAGAAATATTGTTAGCAATCTGAGGTTTTGCTCGGTGCCACGGTTTCAGTTGCACGCTGTTGAAGAGGGGTGCTGCCTGGCTCCTGCTGAAGGTGGTTGCAGCTCTTGTGTAGCTTCCAGTGAAAGCTGGATCAAGGTCCAAGTATTCTGGAAACTGTAGTTCTTGTTGGCTCTGTGTTTTGGTTTGGTTCTGAGTTATTTTTTCACCTCGGATAAAATCTGAGAAGGTTAATACTTACTAGGAGGGTGGCTGTGCCGCTGTTAACCCTGCAGTTGGTGATAGCGACTTTGGCGTTTCTGAAGGGATGGGGTTGGGGTGCTAACAATGCATTTAATTAGAATACGCAATGAGCAATAAAACCATACTAATCAGAAGTTAGCAGCGAAAGCTGCACCCATCCTTACAGCTTTCGGTCTGGGAGAACTGGAATTGTGGAAGAGGGGAAGCAGTTGCAGCCTTTCCCCGGGACACAGAGCGGCGCGGCAGGGCCGTGCTCTTCATGCTTTGCTGCCTTCCCTCTCTCCTCCCGAAGGAGGAGGCAGCCGATCTGTGCCCCCGACCTACTCCCCCACATTGCCCCACGCCTCTGCCCCCCCGTTTTGGCGGGCAAAGGCCGCCAGCTCCGTTGCGGAGCACCCCTCCTGGTAGTGGGAGAATAGCTGCCCTTCCTTTCGCTTACGTACCTAGCATTGGGTTTGGGTTTGTTTGCCACCTCAGTTTAGAGACCCTGGTGTATATAGTATAAATGGAGTATAATTAAAAGTTATTTTGATTGTTGGGCTTTGGGCTTTTTTTTTTTTTTTTAAGTGACACATGTAAAATGTTCATGCCAATGGTTGACTCGGATATATTTTGGCAAGAAAAGTATTAATGAACCACATTCAATTCTTTAAACACAGTGAAGAAGTGTATGAGTCTTATGTACAAGGGAGGCTGCTCTGTTCAAGATAAATCTGATGTGAATACTGTACGATCATGTATTGGCCTTTCAGATTCCAATACTAAATTACTGCTTTTGCAAAAGTCACATCACATGTTTTAAAATCTGACTGTAAAATAGAAGTTGTATGGTTTGCAACTTTTCATCAGCCTGAAAAGCAACTACAAGCTTTGGCTAAAGCAAAGTACACTCATGCACGTTAATAATGGTGTAGTCAAAATATTTATTGAAAAGAAAAGGTAGAATATTTTAAACGTTGCACCTGCCATTATATCTTAAAGCACATTCTTCACATCTAACTGCCAGTGCCATTATCAAGTCTGTTTTATAAATGTACATTTCTTCAAACTAAAAAGTGCATAATTAAAAGTATTATGTTACTGCCATATAGTGATATAAAACATTTTATAATTGCCAATTCATTGTAACTATTATTTATTTAAAAGTGAATTGTAAGAATGCTTTCTGATCAAATGAACCAGAGTTGTTTTTAAACCATTCCCGTTAGCTTGTTTCTTACGTAGCATAAGCAATGTCTTTGGGTTTGTTTAGAATAATTTTGCCAGTAGGTGACCAATTCTAACCCTTTTTCCTCCAGTTTAGTCCTTTACCCATTTTAAAGACGATTTACAGAAGTTTAGTTTTTTGTATGCTAATCTCTGTTAATTAAAATGTTTATAAAGTTTATTTTTACCAAAGAGATGCAATTCATTATGACAAAATATTGCAGAATAAACTTTGTTTTATAACATTTGTGACTTTTCTGCCCACATTTTTCATTCAGATGATCAAAGGGGCTTTTCTAAAATAAACAGCATTGCAAACAGAAAGCGCTGTGTTCTTTCTCTCTTTATCTACAGTCCCTGGTTCTGGTTTCAGACGGTGCCCCAAATGCCCCACCTTCCCATTTAAACCTCTTTCATGAGACTGTGCTAGCGTAAAAAACCAAATGTGTAATTTGTTGTAGGTTGGTTAAGATGGTTGCATGCATGTGGAAGTCATCTGTAAAATACCCTGTCAACCCCTAGCAGGATTTGCTTACAGTCAGGTTCATCCATACCTGGCCCATAATATTTGAAGAGCATCTTATTAAGGCCAAGATTTCACACGTTAACCTGGAACTCGAGGAGTCTTTTGACGTCTTGGAAATTGCTGAAATACTACTGCATACGTTTTGCTGTCCTGAAATATTATTCCAGAAATAGCTGGAGTCTTTCTGATGAAACATCTGTGATTATTTACAGTTCTGTACCTGTACTGCTGCGGCCAGGTTGCTTGTATGATACTCAGATCAACAGTGTAATACAGGACAGGTAATTTAAAAAATGTGTCCCTGGATAAAGCTGCATAGGTCTTGTTTGGTGTTTTTTCAGTGTTTACTTTCTTTAGATAGGATTTATGGTGTCTGTTGGGTCTTTTGTACAGATGGCCTTACGGAAGGCGCAAGGTGGGAACACCTCCATCTTCACCAGCTGGAATGAAGTGCCCCCCACCCCACCTCCTCCGTGCCTGCCCCTGCTGCTCCCAGGCCAGCTTTCCCCTCCAGTGCCCGCACACACCTGCGTCCTCCCAGAGCCCGGGAGGGAGAAGTGCCAGGGGAGGGAGGAAATGGGATGTGACATGATGCTTATCTCTTAAAAGCAGGCATTGGCCCATCTCGTCTACTTTTTTATTTTTATAGCCTACTACTATCACTGAGTTAAGTTTCCTCTGTAGGATCTGATGAAAACACAACAGTTCCTTTTGCAATACTTAAAGTGATACGGTAACAAAGACATGCCTTCATCACCTTATCAAATAAAATGTAAATCACAAATTACAGAACATATATGCACTGTTAGTATCTTTGATTTAGTGTTCATCTTAATATACTGATGAAAGAACAACTCCTCTAATTAGTTTGGACAAAATCACAGCTATGTATCATATGTTAATGACAATCTTTCTAATTGTTATTCACTATATTGTGCTAAGAGAGCCTGAAGTTCATTGTTAAATTTCCCAGGAGTGTTTTCCTCTGTTACGACTTTGCTGAAAATTACCCTCTGTATGGAGCCACAACTCTTGAAATAAAGCATTAATTGAAGCAATTACCCACTTACACCAGCTGTATTTTAAGGACATTTGTTGAGGAAGTACTTAATAGATTAGATTTATTTTGAAAAAATGGCTGTCTAAATTTGACACAGAATATGGTTATACTTTCACAGATCTTGAGCTTCCAGATACCTCTAAGTGTTCTTAGTTTGAGCAGTCTGAGTAAATACATGTAGCTGTGAACATCTGGTGTGCTTGGATGTAATCACATACGAGAATTACTCCAGCAATGTTACTGTGAACCTTCCCAGCGTGTTTAGACATAGAAAATCTCTTCCCTATTTTTACCCGTGAGAGTCATTCTTGCACCTGAAATGGCAAAGCAATATCGCCTCTCCTCAAATTGTCAGTCTTCAGATCAGTAAGGTTTCTTCTTCTATTTCTTCCAGAAGGCTCTCCTGAAAGCTACCTGCTCTTACAGTTATAAACTACTTAGAGCTAACATATTGTTAACTACCCTCTGCCACTGTTGGTTTAAACAGCTCTTCGTTAAGCATCAGTGTTGTGTATTGCATCAGTACAAAAGCAATCATTTCCCTCCTTAGGCTCTTGACTTACTAAACAACATTATTTGGTTTCCGTTGGAAGACAAGATCTTCATCCCTCTTAACCACTTTTCTGTACATCAATTCCAGTTTGAATTCAGCCTGCTGGCACGTGCATGAGAAGAGCTCTAGCCATTCTTCTAGAGCGCTGGTGCTTTTTGTAACCTGGCCTTAATATTTCCCTGACTTTGCAGCATCATTCTGGCCTGGTATGTCCTAGGCTTGTCACTGCCTTTACCTGGTCACATACAGTTGACTAATCCTGTTATCAGCTGATATGTCTATGTCTCTGTTCTCCATCACTGCCAACCGGTGAGGCCCCAGTCGGCATAAAAAGTTGGTAGTTCATGACCTGGAAGTTGATTTAATGAGATCTGTCCTGATCCTGACTCTTTGTGATCTCTCCTGGTAATCTTCCTGCTCACCAGGAATTCATTTTTGTCCCTGCCTGTCCAAATAAAGGAAGAAAGACAAGTTTTGTCAGCCACGATATGTTTTTCATCAACGCATGTTGCTGTTCTGCTCATTTTGCAGTTCTCTGCAGGGCTGGGTTTTTTTTTACTTAAAACAGTGGGGACAGATCAAGTGTCTTTGCCTCGTGTCTTAATAGGAGATGCTGCATTTGCCATTGTCACACTTCATGCTTGTCATCGGAACGACTACCCTCAACCAAGTACTTGTCTGTGCTTTTTCAACGTTTGGAGAAGGACATCCAGTTCCTTAAAACTAGGTATGTCTACCTGCGTGCTGCTTTTATGCTGGTTGCTATAATCTCTGTTCCCATGGTATCTTGACTTTCCAAGCCCTAATGGACAGCAGACTAGATTGGACTGAATCTCTAATTTCTGTACCCATTCCAAAACCACTGCTAACCGTTAAGCACTTGGGTATTTTCATGCCTAGAAATGCAGGTTGGTCCCTATCAGACCAGTCTCTGAAGCACTGATGCGCTAATGTGCTTTGCACTTGGCAGACAGGTGTTCAGAAAAACCTCTGTAGGTGCCTATATCAACTTTTATACAACATCACTTTTAAAAATAGATTTTGTGCCTCAAAGACTTTTTTTAATTAACTTGGTATCTTGGTTTCTTACTAAGATCCAGTAGGTTCCCAGTTGTTTTACATGCTAAAATTAGCTCAGCAAACTAAATTTTCAGTTATTTTCAGTAAGGGCACATTTTATTCTCTCTCATAAGCTTTGTGCATGTTTTCCAAACTGCTGGCGGTGCTTTCCATGCTCTGAATACACAGTTACACCTGCACAAATTACAGGCATTTTGCTTTTCTTTTGGCTCCGAGTAATTTGAAAAGACTATAAAAACCCATCTGTTGAGTTTGACTACGGTGTGCTGGCTGAAATGACCTGCTGTTTCGCCCAGACTCTGCAAGCCCTTCTGTGGGGCAGGTAAGGTGTGGGGGGCAAAGCAGAGCCATTTCAAAAGAAAAGACGTTTCCTTAAAATCTCTGAGTGGCTACACAAATCTGGGTATTAACTTGAGTGCGACTGTGTTGTATGCTACCTTAAAAAAAATGCCGCCGTGCTGCATGATGTCACCTTGACCCAATCATAACCCATTTTCTGTGAGCACAATGTTAACTCCCCAGAGAAGCAGCCGCTGAGTGACAGCAGCATCCCATGCAGCCGTTGCTAAGCGACAAGATTCAGTTTTCAGCAGGATCTAATTTTAAAGTATTTAACCCTAGATCTGTCAAGGTTCATTATTTCCGATGTGGTTGTTAATCCCTACTTGTTGGTGTCCAACTTCACAAAAACCCTGGTCCTGGCAGTGTTGCTGTTTTATTTACCATATATAGTGGCTCATAACGAGGAGAAGCGTAAGCACCCCGGGTAGATCTTGGTGCCAAATTTCATTTCAGTGCTGATCCACACACAGAAATATGGGATGCAATTAGAGGTGAAAAAGAGCGCATTGTCATTCTGTGAATCTTCCTTTCTTTGCTGGCTGGTGCAAGTGGCTTGCACCTACTCTCTTTCTAAGGACTGCTGGTTTTCAAATGAATGAACACTTATGGCTGGGTAGCTGGCAATAACAATTAACCTTCAATTTTTAGTTATGTGTCCTCTTACTTCTAGCTGAATTTCATCTAGGTTAAGAAGCTTGTTTTCTTATCTAAAACCATTCAAAAAAACTGCTGTCGTTTTGAAATCTAGGGTTTTTTCAATACTGAAAATATTTTAAATCCTTTAAATTCCTTTAAATCATCACACAGAATATTTACAGATTGTGATGAAGTTCTACAGTTTGTTGTGGGGTTTTTAGTAAATAGTTTTCTACACTTTATTTATTTCTAAAGTATAGCGGCCTGGAAGCTTACTCCCATATTTTACAAAAAGAAATAAATATTTCTGGCCAGCTATGTCATTCCTTGATTAATTAGTGCACACATCCCTGTAAGTGCACTCAAGTTCACTGCTAGGTCCCAAAAACGTGGTATTTCACTCAGATGAAATAATGCTGCTTCTACTGGGCAGTACCATAACCACAAAAAAACCCAAACAAACAAACCCCAACCCCTCCCCCCCTCCCTCCCCCAAAAAAAACCAAAACCAAACCACTGAGATAAAATGTAGTACAATACAAAGAAAAAAAAAATTAGACAATTCATATTTTTAAAAATGCTAATACAGTTCCTATCAGCCTCATTATCCCCCCTAAGATTCTCCCTCCTCCCATTGTCAGGATTCAAAACTGACACCGCGTTGCTCCTCATGCTTTTTCTCCTTTCCAGTTCATGCTGATCTATCTGCAAAGACAAACCTGTCTCTGCCAAGGCACTTTTTCCAGCAGTCAATTTGATCATAATACTCCCCTGCTGCCTTTCGGTCCTCCTGGGGCATCCCCCCTTCCACCGCTTCAAGTTCACATTTCCTATCGCCGGGTTTGCGACGTATAAATAACTGTTTATCACCACCTCCTTCTGCACGGTGTGTTGCGCCTTCTCCCCCTGCTCTGTCCGTGAGGAACCCTGCCCCACACCTCCTCTGCCCCTCTTCTTTTTCTGTGACAGTCTTTATGCACCAAAGACCCTGGCTCTAGCTCATTCTAGAAGTCCAAATTATTTTTGGAAGTGCCACAATACTTTTAAAAATAATTAAAAAAAATACTTATTAACAGGAACAATTCTGACTAAAATGTTTCTGACACTATTGGTAAATCTGCCAGATC